GTGATTTCATACTCTCTCACAACTTTGTAAGCATTTCCTTTGTTTTCGTGGAAAGGAAAGCATATTCAGTATTCATAATTTTGGTAGTGTTGTTGTTCTTTTTGGTTATTGTTGAAGTGCAAACAAAGTCCCACATTGAGTGAAATAAGGACTGGTCAAGGGTTTATATACACATAGATATCTCCAATGATAAGAGGCCTTTTGGAGTAGTACCAAAAGCAAACCCGTGAGGGCTTGGCCCAAAGCGAACAATATCTTATCATGTGTGGAGTTCTATGTGTGTGTTGAACCTCCCCCAACAACTGTTATTGAAGTCCTGCAACCTGACAGGACTAACCATATTCAACTTCATTGGAAGAACTAGCAACAAAAAAAAAATATTTCTAAAATTTATACTAAAATAAATCATTATAATTGAGATAGAACACCAAATTTAAATATTAAAGACGCAAAGAAGGAACAACCGAAATACGATTAACAAAACTCAACTATCCGAAAATTTATAATTTATACAACTTTTATCTTTTTAAAATTAAAAATAAAAAATAAATTTATTTTCCTCACAAATTGTAATTCTTTTATATTTTCTCTTCTTTTTAATTTAATACATAATATTTCCACAGAACTCGAGGATATAATTAAATAATTCAAAGAAAAAACTATTTTTGCAGTTGCACAACTTTTTATTTTTTGTTCCTATTATTTTATAAATATGTAATTTTAATCTCTATGTAATATTAATTACAAATTTGATATTTCAATTTTTTTAAACTAACAAATTTTAATGTAATGCAATATATAATCACTTGCAAGAATTTATACAAGTAGGTAAGTGATAACAATAGTAATTACTTACTCATTTAAATAAGATATTAATAATGTATTTAGAGTTAATTTTAATACATATTATTCTTTATATATATATATATATATATATATATATATTTGTTGCTAATAGTTAATAATATGCTAATGGTAGACCAAAATGAATTAATTATAAACAATTGAAAGATTAAATATGTAATGAAAAATTTATAAAAAAAATAAAGTTACAATATGATTGGAATTATAGTATAAAAACTGAATTTAAGCCTTAGTTTAATTTTCTCAATAATTAGTAAAGTTGTCAAGCACGTCTCTGTCACATCAAGTGACTGCGCACTAACAGACACAACTCAGCCACCGACAGCATCATCTCTTTTTACAATCTACCATTTATAATTGTCTAATTATATAAAAATTATAATAAATGATTTGAATAATTATTTTTATTTTCTAAAATATGGAGAAAAATATTTTATTCTTTAAACTTAAAAAAATTATTATAATTAATCAATTTTTGAAAATATAATCTTAATTAATTTAATACTAAATCTAAACTGAAATAACTTGTGTGTTGTAACATCTCAAAAATACAGTAATAAAACCATATAATAGAGTTGATTACATTTCGTAATAAACAGTTCAGTCTTACACTAATAAAACATTTAAAACCGAACGGAGTTAAGTACAGAGTTAATTACAATTTCACAGAAATAAGAAAAAGTCAGGATCGAACGGTTTTACAAAACAATTACCTAACGATCAAAACTAAACATCTATCATCTAAATTAACCGAGCGACCTAAGGTTCGGCCTTAACTTCAACGTCCACCAGATTCTCTTCTTCAATCACTTCTTCTAACAATGCGTCTCTTTCTGCTCACATCCACACGGATGATCATTGCAATTGACAAGACAGACGTACATGGACGAGACAACACAAGAAAACAACAGGGTAAGCTTATGTAATTTAATTCATACATCAACATATAAAGTAAACATTCCAATACTCAAGAAACATTTCAACATAAGTATCATTGCAACGCCTATCACTAGACTGACCGTCCGGACTATATGAATCTGTGTAGCTACAAGCGTTCTTGCACCCGGGTGATGTAGTAATTAGGATACACTCAACAGCTGCCACCCGAGGTTAGCCCTATCCAAAGTACCCCTAAGGACTAGGACCTCCTGCCGTTCCCACACATGACCTACCCTCCTCTACGTGAGGATGAGTACTCATGGAACATCAGGATGAACTGCCAGCATTAGCATAACCACAGTCATACTTTACCAATTCCAATATTCAAGACATGAGTCGTTCCTCCCCGAAACGCTCGTTCAAAATCCACAACCGTTTAATCATCTCATATACTATTCATCCTTTATAATCTTTCACTTTATTATCACTTTCATCATCAGTTACAAGGACATTAAATAACGAACGTTCAGCCCTCTTCAGAACGAGGACGAACGATAAGAACGAGACCAATGATCCTCCCGTTCAGAACAGAATAAGACTAAGAGAGTTACTTTTGGATTTAAGAAATGAGCCGAGTAAAATAGTGAAATATGTGACGAACAGTATTTACCACGTGAGTCAGTTAAATGAACTGACTCTCTTGAGTTCAAACCAATAATTAAGGAATAATTTAAGTATGGAGGCCTTAGGCCGGATCCAATGCAAGAAGAATAATCAAGATGTTAAGGACTATATTTAGAATAGTTCACATACGGAAATTCAATGCCAGTAAATGATCGAACATGGAAAAAGAAATATTACTGAAGTTGGACGAACGCTATTTTATCAAGATTGATTATACATTAGTACGAGCGCTAGGTGTAAGACCGAGCACTACTTAGTATGAGCGCTAGGTGTAAGACCGAGCACTACTAATCTTAAAGTACGAGGGTATATATATGTATTACTTTATTTCGAATATCCGGATACAACTATGCTGGGCCGAACGCTCCAACCTAGTGTTTCCCATGAGGACGCTCGTTCTCGAATAGAATTCTCTCCAAATGAAAGAATTCCATTTTTAAAACAGTTTACTAGATAAACCGAACGGTAGGGGACCGTTCGATGACGAACGTACATTATCATAGTGAGAATTTCATATTCAGATTTTCATTTATTTCCAACTCAAGTTTCAACACATCAGTTTATAACCTTATAACTTCACATCAAATATCAATTTACATACTTTATAGAATCCATATTAACAATTCATACTCCAAAATGTTTACTCATATTCACATTCATATACTTCATATATATCAACCATCATCATAAATATCAACCAGCATGCATCATATTCATTCATTCAACCAACGGACGTTCATACACAACAACTACATACAGATTAAATTAAATAAGCTTCCCTTACCTCTAGTGTAAACGGACGTCCTACTGACTGAAGTTGGTTTGCCAAAGAACTAAGATTCCTTCTACTCTTAACGCTCAACTGCTCTACGAACCAAAATTAAATAATGAACCAACAATGATTCAGAACTAAAACTAAGGAATCATGAAACCAGAACTTGGTTTTCATGTCGATAAGAACGAACGGTTAAGGAGGAGAAAACTTACCAGTTTCAGAACTCATAAATGATCGGTTCAAAATGAAGCTTGGGTCGCCGGGAACACTTCTACGGTTTCTGAATGATGATCGGAGAAGAAAAAGAGTGAGTTACAGTAGAGAGAAGGGAAGTTTCTAGAGGGAAGAAGGAGGAAATGGAAAGTCAGAGTTTGGAAGGAGAAGGTGCGTGCAGAAGAGAATGGGCAGGGTTTTCAGAAAAATCATTTTTCGTTTACCCCACGTCCAAATGGTCGTGCACTCTCCTGTCGACACCTACACTCCACTAACTAACTTCCGAATCTTCCATTCTTGACACCTGGCGTTAGTGCATCAGAGTTTGAGTGCGTTTTTAATGCATCTGAGCATGAGTTTTGGGGTGCATTTAATGAGATTAAACAGGTGGGGTTTGGGTGCATTTAGTGAGGCCTCACATGTGTTCTTTTGGAAACACAGTAATTTAAAGGAGATGGAGTGATAAATTTAAATAGATTTAAGAATAAAATTTGTGTTTTTTTTAAAGATTTAGAGGTGATGATAGAATAAATTTGTTTCAGTGTAAAACTTATGAAAGATTTGATTTATGTAAAATATTAGATGAAATTTTTAATAAATTAAAAATTTTATTAAAATTAAGATTATTAAATTATTTTTTATGTTAAAAGTAATATAAAGTTATACGTAGATGAGTTAGAATTATTATAAATGTTTTTACGAAAAATGTATTGATTGAAATAAATAAATAATACAATATATTTAGTATTAAAAAATTTAATATTTTAATTTTTAATATTAAAATTTAAAATAATTAAATATTTGTTATAACTTAATTAAGAAAATCAATTCAAAATATAATATAACATGGGACGATAACTTATATAAGAAGATATAATTTATGGTTAATCAAAGTCAAGTTGTTTTATTATATAAGTTTGCAACTTATAACAATGTGTACAGAAGCTTAGATGGATTCACTACTCACTTTCCATCACCAAACAAAAGGCACACAATACCTACTTCCATAATATATCACCTATAATAAAGAATTAAATTCAAATCAAGTGTAAAAAAATTTCATCAAACAAAACACATGCCAACATTATCACCTCCATCCACGAGCACACTCGCAGGAACCCCCTAACCACGAATCACCAAAATCCACATAAACTGAACCACTCAACCATCTTCAATGATGAAATTATCTTCACCAAAAATGGTCACCACCACGTCGCCTCACCAATGACCACCACAGGTCTTCGATTCAACTCTTGAATCACCTCGTATAACATGTCCAACACTTTCTACAACACAATAAATTTTTTAGAACAAACGAAAGTTTTGGAACCGATTCTAAGCACGAGAAAACAAATTCCAACACTCTGGAATCAGTTCCAAACAAAACATAACAGATTCCAATACCCTAAAATTTGTTAATGCATCTTTAACAAATTCTTAAGGATTTAGCTTTGAGTTGAATCATTCTTGCTTCATGTTTTGGAAATTGTTAAAAGTGGAAGCTTAATTTTCTGCGTTTCATTGTCAAAGTCTTATATAAACCACACTAAAGTTACTGAACAAGGTCGGTGTGGTGTTGTATTCTTCTGCAATACAATATACATTGGCTTATTATCTAGGATAACTATAATTTAGAAAGAAAGCAAAGGTGGCACGTGGTTGAAATGTACACACGTGTATGAGAGAGACAGAACATAATGGCTGCTGCATACGTTAGTTCATCCCTTCCCTAGATGCTCTGTCTTGGTATGTATGGTTTCATCTTCCTACTCTTGTGTCTGCGGATATTATATTATTTTCTTTCTCTCTGTTATTTTCTTTGTTTATTTTCTTCTATATAAACCTCACACACCACTCTATCTTTTCACACAGTTCTCTTTCTCTCTTTTCTCTGTTCTCTGTTCTCTGTTCTCTGTTCTCTGTTCTTAAAAATTTCAGTTTTTTTTGGGTGAATTACGTTGCCATCATCACCATGGCCATGAAAAGTGCTGCTTCCTCTGCCATTCGCTCTCTGCTTTCCTCGTCCTCTTCCACTTTCTCCAGAAACCTTCATGTAACTAAACTTTCAAATATCTTCTTCATCTTCTTTCTCCCATCTTTACTACACTTTTTATTTTTTGATAAAAATCCAAGTTTCTCCAAAACAATTCTTTCCCATACACATGACAGTTGGATCGGAATCTCACCATCAATTTTAATCACTGACCCAGTTTTACTTTTTCATCAAAGTAAAAATGCCCAGTGAAAATACTAAGTTATTCATTCAGATGATGAGCATGATTAATTTTTTCTTAGGCAAGATCATGAATGATATTTAGTGCTTGAACTTTGGTTTATGCCTGATTGTGAATGTATATTTTTTTCTTATGGTTGAGAATAGGCTCCGGCTGAGAGGAAGAAGATTGTGGGAGTGTTCTACAAAGGGGGTGAGTATGCTAAGTTGAATCCCAATTTTGTGGGATGTGTTGAAGGAGCATTGGGTATTCGTGAGTGGCTTG